TAACATAAATATGACATAGAAAGCATTATGGTATCTAATATTAATAAATTATATTTTGAATATGTAAATAAATCGTTACCATATAATTTATTGAGAACTCTATGCTGAAGAATAGTCCGTAAGGAATTTGCTAAAACTTATAACGAAATCATGCGGAAAATGTCATTAATCATATAACAAACTCACCTGAGATGTCAAATCAAATTAGAAATATCATTATATTTTAGTAATTAATGTTTTAAAAATAAATAAATATATTAGTACATATATAAATATAGGATAAATAATGAGCCTTAAAGATATATAAATACAATTGGCAGCTTCTCGTCTAACATAACTGTAATGTTAAATTAATCTAGAAAATTATTCTTGTTACTTTTATAATGCTATATTTTACATTTTAGAATTAGTTAATTCTATATTTATCACTATATGTAAGATAAAATAAAGTCAAAAATTAAGAAACTACGGATTAATTATTAAAAATGCTATGTATAATTAATTTATTTATACATATATATATTTAATATATTTATATATAGTTATTTTAAAAAATAAATCGAATTAAATTTTGATTTATAATCATTAATATAATTTAATTTTAAGTAAATTTACTCATTCATACATCGAATTCTTCCGGTCCAATTCATATTAATTCCTGTAGCATTCAAGCCTAGCTTCAAAAACTTTACCTTTAATAAAGTTATCTATATTTAACAAACGAGTAAGATTATCTTAGCATAGATAGGGACACTAAGAAGTATCTAAGGTTATCGGTCATATCATTTAGGAGGTATATTCACCATAGTTCGTTTAAGTGGAATAATAGTTTTATTTTTCTGGCAATAATGTGAGTAGTCACAAAATCTCGGAGCTACATTCCATCCTGGATGAGAATATTTATTAGGAAATCAAGGCTATGTAAAGTGTAATGTAAATGTAAGGCCTACTCAAATCATTGTGGAAAAAATCAGTTGTCAGTCCCCTTATCACCTCGAACGAATACACTTCATATATAAATGACCTGTTGATAGTTTTAAAAATCTACTTATAAACGAAATATTTGTCATATTGTTAGATACGACAACGGCACTTCCTCAATTATAAAATAGTCAATATAAGTGGCTTAAGGACTAATTATGGTGACTTACCTACAAGGGTATGATTAAACGTTCCGAAGCCATAAAATTACCTTAAAATAATTTCAGATTAATGTTAAGTCTGGTACATGCTCAGTCCTATAATAATGACACCTCTGTCTGGCTATTTATTCGTTAGACATGAAGTTAATATTTTCGCATTTGAGAATTTGTTTTATTTCGACAAAAAATTTTGCATATATGAACTATATGTAATTAACTATCAACAAAATACAAAAAAATCAATATGGCCCCTTTTTATGTCCAATATTGTATATTTAATGCTAAATTGGTTAGTCATCAGTAAGATCTTGAGTACTGTCTACTAGATAGCAAAAGCTGAGTTTAGTTTAATATTTATTCATGGATTTAAATGCATTCATATATATATATATATATATATATAAACTTTTAGAATTATACTTTAAAACTTAACATGGCAATACTATATATAAATGTTTATATATAAATTTATAAATAAATATATTTATATATTCTTGCTAGTTAAATGTCACACAGTTATTGTATTGTGTTTTTCATTTCACGAATAATATTATTAATAAATTAGGCCAAAATATATTTGATCTGAGCTGGTTCACTCACTCTAGTTATATATAACATTATATGATTTTCAAAGCTTGTAACCCTGAAAATACGAAAATATCTTAATTTGGACAATGCATTGAGGATCGCCAGATTAATTTCTTTTCGTGTAAGGAAACTTGATCGCAATTTGTTCTTCACAAGTTTAGATGTTATGCTCCTCTAGAATTATCAATAATAAACTATTCCTTTAGATGCTCAACCTCAGTACGATAAGTAGGCAGTCATTTATAAGCATTATAAATCTCGTTCGAACCACTAAACATATTGCTATAAATTTTTTGGAAAGATTAAATTTCAAAGACTAAATCCCTTTGAATCTCATATATAAACAAGTAACCATCAATCAAACAAGAACTTGTAAGATGTTGATATTATTACTTCCATAGAATCTAAATCAAATAGTAGTAGTATATGTTTAGCATAATAGGGGAATAGGATTGTTTATTTCGCATATTAGATTCTGCCATTAGCTGGCTTAAATTTTCACTAAATAATTTTCCTGATGTTATTGTGAAAGCTAGAAGTCTTGGTCTTTGCACAGAGTGAATTTAGTGGTATAGACAAGGGGTGATTATATTTGGTGAGGAGAAGCTGGATAGCAAAGCATTTTATAATAAATTCAGGTCTTTGTATCTTTCACCTGGTTTGAAAGAGAGATTAATGGGGTTCGTCATTGGATTGCCTCGGAAAGCGAAAGAAAATCGTCCTCGTCGTTTTGTCTATTAATTTGAGTATAAAAGTTCTCTATATGCCTTACAACGATTCAAATGAATCCATACTCTCATTTTCATAACCTGTATCCCTAAATCATAGAACCAGACTTTGAATGAACTACACAAAGAACTATAACAAGTAAAGTGGCAGGTTTCGATACTTCCTACCCCTTTACAGCCGAAATTCGCCCCCTAAATAACCCATCCGATATTAAGGTTAGTTATTCAATGTGTTGACTAAATGCTTGCAAAAATAAGGGAAATATCTTCGCGACGCAACAGCTTCCTTCTAAAAAAGTTAACTTGGATTTCGTTCCTTAAATTTTAAAGTTAAATTATGCTTTATCTATGCAATGCACATCTAAAATAGTGAGAAATACAGTTAAACTTTCGAGGCTAATCAAGCGTCTCCTTGTTTAGTGGTTCTTCTAATTTACTCGTAATAATCATATGTAACAGATACATCTAGCTTCAAATCAGTTTTCTATGCATATTCCTTCAATTTAGGATATTGGCAAATTTGTGTTCTTCTTCATAAACAATTTTGTCATATGCTTTGGAATTAAAAAATTCCAATTTGACTTCTATTTCAGCCATAGGTTCAATAAATTACAGTTATTGGACCCCAAGGTTTTTATACGCGTATTTTGACAGCCTATTATTGACCGGTAGACAGATCTTACCCAGATCTACTGAAAGGAATAGGCCCTTTAATGGGGTAATTCATAAACAATCTTCATTTGCCTTCTTTAATTTAAGCTTTTAATAATACCACATCACCTACTATCCACGAAACCACTTTTATAGAGAAGCCTTGAAAATTATGTTAAATTTTAACATGTAATTGACTTGACCTCATGATACTAATTTGGTTTAATTTTTTTATTTCTGCATACAGACCACCAAGTTTTGCCATCAGTCACTTAATCTTTCAGCATCCAGTTGTG